TTTGCTTATTGACTTCTTTGTTCTCATTTCCAAATGTTCTTTCTTTCCATTTCTATACTTTCGTTCGTACATTGGGCAGTGTAAATGAATAAACTTTTGGGGAAGATCTTGAAGTAAGAATACACTTTGGTGGCTTCGTTGCCAATAGAGAAATTTGTTTGGCCCTTGATGTAACTAACTAGTGGCACTCGTGGTGCAAAGTTAGTTGGATAGGACCATGAAAATGACGGTGGATTCTAGTTTTGGAGCTCAGCTTCATCATCAAACAAATCTTTATGATTGGGTGACACGACTTCATTGCCGGTCTCCTCTACAGTGTTTTCAGAAGGCTCACTAATATAAGCGCATACCCTCCAACTGCTACGGAATTTCCGTAGTTTCAGAAATCTTCTTTTCAGACGGTAGCAAAATTAANGCATACCTGCCAACTTTTAATCCCTTCCATTATCATTTTTCCCAGTGGTATTAAAATGGAATTAAAACTTCAATTTTAAGCAAACAAATACGTTGTATTTGAAAAAAATTAAGTTGACAACCATGATAGTAACGCATATTAATATATAAGCTTAATTTTTGTAAGCAAAGTGGTGATCAAAATCATTTAAAAATTAAATTTATAAAAGAAAAAATAGTATATATTTACTACCACTTTCAATATGAAAATAAAATCTCCCGCAAAATCCGGGAGAGTTGGCAGGTATGTCTTCCTAATAATAAGCTACAAGAACTTAGAGACAACTTAGAGAACTTATTACATCTGCAATGCCTGCATAAGTAATAAAGTCTTCCTTGATGTATGGAAAAACGCCATAATTATTCTCTTCCGCAAGCCGAGTAGAGACTCTAGACTTGCCGCGAATGACACGCCAATAAGCGTACTTCCCACCTTGGAAAATTTTTCGAAAGACTCATCTTAAACAGACTGCAGCCATTACTTAATTTCATTCCTAAACAACAATATCGCTTCAGAAAGGAACTCTCAATGACAAAACAGCTTACTAAACTCATCAACTTCATCAGGGACAGCATACATGTCATAAACCCGAAACAACAGCCCTGCTTATGCTAGACGTGGCGGAAGCCTTCGACCACGTCTAGCATACAGGACTAATCACTAAAATGATAAACAAAGAGCTACCTCCTGATCTAATCTACATTATACTCAGACCTAAGAAACAGGACCTTTCAGATCAAGCTGAATAACAAGCTCTCAGATAAAAACTGATTACAGCTGGCGTCCCACAAAGGAGTAGTTTAGGCCCTGTGCTTTACCTTATAAATACCAAAAGCGCGTTTTTCTTTCAATTGGGAAATGGTTTCCAACATTGAAAAGTCTCGTTGTTGAAGATGATGATATAGTTTTAGAGGAAGAGCGCCTTTGCTTATTGACTTCCTTGTTCGTATTGCCAAATGTTCTTTCTTTCCATTTCTATACTTTCGTTCGTACATTGGGCAGTGTAAATGAATAAACTTTTGGGGAAGATCTTGAAGTAAGAATACACTTTGGTGGCGTCGTTGTCAATAGAGAAATTTGTTTGGCCCTTGATGTAACTAACTAGTGGCACTCGTGGTGAAAAGTTAGTTGGATAGGACCATGAAAATGACGGTGGATTCTAGTTTTGGAGCTCAGCTTCATCATCAAACAAATCTTTATGATTGGGTGACACGACTTCATTGCCGGTCTCCTCTACAGTGTTTTCAGAAGGCTCACTAATATAAGCGCATACCCTCCAACTGCTACGGAATTTCCGTAGTTTCAGAAATCTTCTTTTCAGACGGTAGCAAAATTAATGTCTTAATATTTAAAAAAAAATTAATTTTAGCGTAACTTGTCCACTATTACTTATAAAAGTGCAGGCCATATGGCTAGATTCTTAAGTTCTGATAAAAGTTTTATGAGAGATCCATTTGCTTTAAAAATTTCTACTTTGGTTCGCTACCACTAGAAAGAATTATTTTCAAAATCTTCATAAGTATGTAAGCGAGGTGTCTCAACTTGTTTTCAGGGTAAATTCTCTTTTTACTCATTTCGACCCTTTCGCAGAGGAAGGAGTCTTCAAATAAGCCTTCGAATTGTTTAGAAATAGTGGTGGTTGAAAACCTAATAAATTGAATTTATTAAAAAAATAATCACAGTTAATAAACTACCACTCGAAAATATTTATTCGCTGTCCGGAGCAAGTTGCTTGCTTGATTAGATCTGGAATGATTGACGTGAGAAATTGATGGACTCAGAACGCTGAGACGGCCTTAAAATCGGTTTGGAGACCAAAGTGGGCGTTATTTTCTGTCCTTGATATTTTTCAGTAACTGGGACATATGTTGTCCCAGCCGTAATATCAAAAATTTACCAGACTGGGACAGCACATGTCCCGTCCGGTGCGAAAGGGTTAAACTAGTTGCAGCACTAATCGAATACGTAATAGAAATACAAAAGCTCAAAAAATAGGCACTTTCATGACCGTTTTCTTGAAAATTAACCCATCGTTAAGGGGTTAAATTAACTAAATTAGATCTGACACTCTCTCTGTTTCTTCCTTGCCTAGTAATGCCAAGTAATCTCAGTCACCAATTGGTCAACAATACTCATACTCATATGTGATGGTTATCTTAGCACCAGCCCCGCTAGGGGCTCTAACTAATTCATCTGAGTGGAAATAAATAATAAATCGCCGAAGCGCAACTGAAAGGTGAAAGTTGGGAATTGGTCAACAACAGTTGAAAAGGTGAGTTTTAGTTTCATAAAATAATTTTTCTACTGGTAAAAAGTTAAAAGGTTATGTTTTGTAATTTTGATAAATTAGAACTAAAATGTTTTTTTCCATCACTATACAGATCAATAGTTAAACAAACACATAAAATGTCCTATAGAAAACTGGCTATTTTCAACTATATGGGTTTCGTTTATTTTAAAGGTTCAGTTTAGAACAAGGGAAAAAATAATTACTTAAAATAACTATTCTAACGATTAGTCAATCCGATGCTATCGTTCGAACAAAAATGCTAATCTTAATGGCAAAGATGTATATGATAATTATTAGTTCCCTTATATATTAATTAATCAATATGGAATTAATTAATTTATTAGGTAACGGAATCGGACACATATCCGAATTTTTCCCCGACAGATTTAGATTCTCGATTATCAAAGCAGGGTGGAGGGTTGCTTCAAACTTCAGTCCCAATAGTTTAGTTCGAGGAGCGGTCGGAAAATTTGGACCATTACTGAAAATTTCACCGGTTGAGTTTCTTGCCATATCTCAAGAAGTTTTTTCGCGAATCTAAAAAATTATAAAATTCGTACAATTAAAGACAATTCGATGAAAAAAGTATTTTTTTAAATTATTCATTATTTCTTATTTAATTCAATAATGACCAAAAATATTTGAATTGGAGGGTATACATAAGTTTAAAACACTTTAAACTATAAAATTACACAAAATTCAAAATTTAAATGAAATCGATCAAATAGTTTCTAAGTTGCAAAATTTCGATAAAGTCATATTTTTAAAATTTCAAATCCAAAAACTGTTTGACCTTTCTTTCAGATTTTTTATTTTGTCATTTAAAACTAATTAGTTTGAAAGAATGAAAAAAACCTATTTATATTACTATTCTAACTTTCTCAGGTGAAATTATAAAATATAATAATAAATCGTAATTAAAAACTATTTTTTTTACCTAAAAATATTTTTGGGTTAACAAACATTATAATTGTGTGCAAAAATGTTTCGATCTTTTCAAAAGATTCCAAGATATGGCTAAATACACAAAAAGTGAAATTAACATAAGGGGTCATAATTTCCTGTCGCCCTCTTGACTGAACTATTGAAACCATAATTTCTAAAATACAACCCGCACCATAATTTGATGGTTAAAAGATCAAATACAACGTAGAAAAATTTGTTTTTTTTTCATTGAAGGTAAGTTTTTATACTCGATTCCAAATTTAATTTATTGTCAGCTCTAGTTATTTAACATATTTAATATCGACTCTTTAAACCATTAAAATCGCTTAGTACGTATAATTCCGATCATTAACACAAAAGTTATTCAGGGGGCTACCTATTTTTCTTACTGAATTTAGTTTCAAAAACTAAAACATTCATAAATGAAGCCCTTTTAAAAAAATTATAGTATACATCAGTGGTTACCAACTGGTGGCCCGCGGGCCGCATCCGGCTCACGAAGCCTTATTTGTGGCCCGCGAGCTAAAATATATTAGTGGTCATTTTCTTACGGACAATTTTCGTATGGGTTTAAAATACTTTTCTTTCATTTAAAATAAAACCTAATTTCTTCGTTTCTGTGAAATTTAACATACTAACGGTGCAAACAAAAAATATTCATCAGGTTTAGAATCTACGAAAATATTTATTCAAGAAAATATTTATTATTATTTGTAATTCAATACTTTTGTTTTGTACAACTTGTTAAAAATTTGACAGTAATATTTAATATTCCTTCAAACATTAAAGAGTCCTATATAAATTTTTGATAAAGTTGCGGCCTGGTGTTTTTAATTGCGGCCCCCTGCCTCACGTAAGTTGGAAAACCCCTGGTATACATTATAAATTATTTACAGAGGATGCTTAAGTCTTCAAAGCGCTTTATAAATATCGTAAAGTGCGTAAATAATTTTATATAGTATGTTCGATAAGTAAGTAAATATTATAACTATTATATGAGAAATAACTATATATAAATCAACAATTCTCAAACAAATGTTCAACCACCGACCCCTAATCTTGTACAAAATAAATCTCCCCATGAATCATATTTCAAATACCATTAACAACAAAAAAGGAAAGAAAAAAGATAAGTAAGAAATAAAAAAGATATTAAAAGCAAGAATGAAAAAAATGAAAATAACAAAGACAACACTTTTTTTTTCCTTTTGACAAATGCGTTCCCGCAAAGCCTCCTCTTAAAATAAACTTCACTCGAATAAGTTTTCACACTCAGATATAAAAATAAAAAACTAAAAATGATTCTCTTACCTCAGAAGGAATCATAACCTCCTGCTGACGAAAGACTCCTTCTATAGCGTAGCATATATCCTTTGCGCTAGGTTTCATCCAAATGGAAACCAGGGCCAAACACGTGAGAGTGCAAGCCCCGGCACAGATGAGAGCGTGCCGACCGACGCCACGCGGGCGGCCGGTCATACCGCCCTTTACGGTAAATTCTCTTTGAATGAAAGGAGAGGCGAGGAAAAAAATGTTCTCATTTGTCGGCGCAGGCGTAGTCGTATTCTCCAGGTTTGGGGAAGAACAATTTTTCTTTTTTCTTTCTCTCTTTTCTTTTATTTTTCAAGCATAAAATAAATTTTGAGAAATAATTTAATTTGAGTAAATCAAGAGAGGAAATATGCTAATGAATGCAATTTTTTTTCTTTCAGTTTTCTGTGTAAATTATTATTTATTTATTTTTTATCGATGCTTTCTTCAAAATATTGCATAAAGTGACAGAGACTTAAAAACTAAAACTTACAAAAGTTAATTCAGTTGAACCCTAGTAAAGTTTACTTCCTAGATAAATAGTATTTTATATGAAATTTTGATTTTTTTCGTACGTAATAGGAGGGGGTAAAATAAATGTAAGTAAAAATTACTGAACAAAAAAATCATATATTAAAATATAAATTTTGCTACCGCAAGAAAAATATTGCTCGCACAGGGTAGTTAGTAGGCATCCCTGTACTTATACCATTTTATTTCTCAATAAATCAAACACTTTACTTTTCGTACAACAAATTTAATTTTGTATGTCAAAAAGAAAACACCACAGAGAAAGTTTTTTGAACTTTTAAAAATGACGTAATAATAAATTCAATGCAAGAGAAAAAAGATACAAAAGCAGAAATTTTTTTCTACACATTTTTTTTTACTTCAGCAGAATATTTATAACACTTTTTTTTATCTGATGTTTTGGTAATGTAAGTCTTCTCCAACTCACGAACTTATCTATTTTCTTCCATATTTTTTTTCATGAAGTTCATGAAGAAAAATTTCGTAACACTCTTCTCATATTCAACAACATAACTAACTGTATATTTGGCATATCTGTTTAAATTATTAATATGCAGTCGTGGATAAATATAATGTGTAATGTGTCAAACAAAAAAATTATTTCAGTGGATCTGTCAATTACAACTCTTTTTTAAAAATCTAATTCCTATTCCTCAATCCATTGAAGATATTCCCTTACAAAAAACTAAGATATTTTTGAGGTGTTAAAAAATACACCTGATGCAGAAAATGAGGTTATCTTTTGCATCAAAAATAACCTCATCAATAAACCTCAATTTCAACCTCCCTTACGCCTCGTAAAATCGACCTCATATATATTTCAGCAATACTTCAAATTGAAATTGGGTGAAATTATTCACACCTCAAATATACTTATTTGTTTGAAGTGTAAGAAAAATAAACTGTAAACCTCAAAAAACACCTCTCCAACTTGTCGCTCGATGGTAGATTTCTATCAATCTCAAAACAACCTCATATGTCAACAAAATAAATTTCATACACCTGGGTTATAAACCTTAGAAGGTTGATTGCTTGTTTTTTTTAAGTCAGTTTTAATATAACCTCAAATTTACCTTCTCACTTCAAAACAACATCAAAAGCACCTTAAAATTTTCTGAAGACTGAATCTTAAAAATTAGTCAGCTCGAAAATCCTTGGAAATCCAGAGCTGCCAATTTTCTACGCATTAAGAAAAAACAATTTTTATCAGTAGTCAAGTTAATGTTTTAATGTATGATACTTCGATCTGTATAATTGTGATTTTATGTTATTAACCACACAGATACTAGAAAAAAACTTCACATGAAACGCTACTTTTGGTCCAGCTCTATTGCGGTTTGGCTTTTAAAATGGCGAAATTACTATGAACTCTATAAAATATTTTTTTTAAAAAAGCGTAGTAGTTGGTATCCCTAAAAGTCATTGAATTTCGAATAAAATTCATGAAAAATTTCAAGGCCGGTAGACACCCTGTTAATATTCTTTTGATCCTTTCTGGAACAGCAAATTTTGATTGAAAAGTTTAGTCAAGCTGGACATTGGCAAACGCGACCTTAGACAGTACATTCTAACTGAAACGTACATAGAGTGACTTGCGTTCTGTTATATACTATATGATTATCTTATTTGCGCTTGTGTATGATTTTCAGTGTAACGGGATACTTGCAAGTAAGTGTAGGATGCGTATCTCGATCCTGATTTGTTACTAAAGCTTGGCATTTGTTTACATTAGCAACTGTTCTTCGCATTCTGTTTCAAGTAATCCTAGCCCGTCAAGTATCAATTCTCTTAAGTTACACATTCTATATTCTTTGCATTCTTTTTCTATATTCTTTCACAAGATTTCAATTCTTTCTCCATATATTTCTTACTGCACGCAAAGAAGCACGAAGCCACGTAGAACATAAACAAACTAATTATGCATTGAAGTTGCCAGGTACGCAAAACAAAAATATATCGTGGTTGCAATGAAATACATTAACAAATAATAAATCTAAGTTAAGTAAAAAGACGTAGACGGGAAAGAATTATGTTTTAACAAATTCGATGTGTGATAAGGCGTTGTATTTAATTAACACGCCATCTTGTTAATAAACGATTAGCTGACACTGAGATCATAGGTCAAGTGTCTGTGTATCAGTGACCGTCTTCTTCATGAGTTGCAAGTTCCCGCTTATAACGTTAAAGTCTAGTTTAAAAAAGGGGGGACGGCTGTACAATCATGCATGATATTCGAGATTTTTAAATATATATTTTATGTTTATGAGCTGATGTTGAAGGACATGATCGTACTGAAGACCTGAAGATTGCTCAGATAACACCATGCTTTAAAATCCAATGCTGGGGAGAATATTCCGGAGGAAACTGCTTTCTTCTCAAAGTCTAAAAAAGTTATTAAAGAGCGGTTTAAGGATTATGATTTCACTACCCAAGCTTTTGAAACTTTCAGTAGACTCAATGAAGTGTCGAACTCTGAATTTATCACTGGAAGTATTTCCTGACATACATAACAATGGATTTCTTCAAAGAAATTTCAAAGTTTACTAATATATATGCGCGTCGAAAGGGAATTTCTTATAAGTTGACCACTTAGAAATTTTATTTTACTTTCACATTATAATGGGCTCCCTTAACACGTGGAATGCCACGCTAATTTTACATGGCTTGCTCGTCTGGCCACAAGGTAAATAACTTCAAACTTAATTTGCAAATATAGACAGATTTTGCTAGTTTATAAAAGGTTTAGTATGACATATCAGGAGAAAATGGTGAATTCTATATGTCTACAAATTGTTTAATAATAGTGGTGGATAAAAATCTACTAAATTGAATTTATTAAACCAAGAATCACAATAATTTAGAAAATTTTCTGCAATTCCATAAAAGAGTGTAAATTTTATAGTTCTATATCATGTTATACGCTGTCAGCCAGCTGTTTTTCGCGGCCTATCTGAAAGGTCAGTGTCAGCAAGCGGTGGCAGACGCAGCCTAAATGTAATTTCAGTGTCAGCCACCGGTAGTTGACGCGGCCTAAATGGAAAGTCCAGTGTTAGCCACCGATGGCTGACGCGGCGCTCAACGTGTTAAATTACCACGTGTAAATCTCTATTGGAATAAAGCTATAGGCAACGGTAGCTCAGTATGAATTACGAACAACCCCTATCTATTGTTAACACTTTGAATACCAGGCAAATTTTACATGGCTTGCCTGTCTGGCCATACGGCGGTAAATAACTACTAACTAAATTTGCAAATATTAGGCATATTATGCTAGTCCTAGCATAATATGCCTAATATTTGTGTTTTGATTTTATTGGGCACCTGGGACGCAAAGCGGCCCCTATCCCATTCATCTGGAATTTCAGAACAGTTTTGGTTGAGCAATGAGGTAAACAGGCAATGGAGTTGCTTTTATGAATGTTTCAAGCTCTTTGCTTGAATAACTAAAAAGGAATCAAAAATAAATTGAGCAGCTTGCTCTAAACTGTGTTTGTTTGATTTTGGAGTTGTTCAGAATTGTATCAGCATGAGTAAACGTTATTTTCAGAAAGGTTGATGAAATTATTTGTTTTGATAGTTATGATATGAGGCGTCGGAGGTGAAATGTGCAGCTATTGGTCTGTAGTTTTTATCTTTGATATAATTTTCAAATTTAAAGATTTCATTAAAATTTGCTGTTTTACATTCTATGGCTTTATCGAAAAAATCTGCGTTTAGCTTGTATATATGCTGTGATAGAGTTGGTA